AGTTAGGTTATGGTTAAGTTAGGTTAGGTTAGGTTAGGTAGGATTACATTTGTCTGGTCCGTAAGCTCTACTTTAAGGCCATGACGTCACGGTCTCCAGCCAGGCGGTGTTGATCCACTTGTGAGAATCTTTCCTTGCCTCTGAGATAAGATGACCGACCCTCGTCTTTGTCTAAAAAATTCATCGTTTTTTTTCTTTACAATTAGCGGCTTTTTCTTCCTCAGTGACTATTGATGCTCCGAGTCTTTCATTCCTTCCTCTTTTTGTCGACACAGTAACAAAAAGTAACAAAAAAAGATAAGAGATTTTTGCCTCATACCTGTAATTAATAACATACAGGTGCACTCGTGTGTACATTAATTAGTGAGAGAAGATGAGAGAATCAATATTTTTTGAGGAGTTGTGGTTGAGTAGATACAGCACTCGACGTCTAACCTAACTGTTGCTTGGTTTGACTACCTCAACTGGTCATTGAATGGGGGCGCTCTTAGTCGACCCAGCTGGGAAAGTGGAAGGTGGTAGTGAGTAATGCCGACCATGTTATCTCCTTGTGTACTGAAGGCTTCATCAACAGTGTACTATATCCACACCACACGACACTCTCTCAGCCTTACATTAAGAGGAGATTTATTAATACATTCACCTGTACCCGACAAGAGCTACACATAATAGTCTGTTCTCTTGAATACTCGAGGTTGAAATATTTACCTGTGTTTTTATGGCTTCAGTCACATGGTCCTCTGACGTCATGGGGGTTCTTTCATTCATGGAGAGAGAGAGAGAGAGAGAGAGAGAGAGAGAGAGAGAGTCTATCTATCAATCTATCTCTGACTATCTCCTTATTTATCCCTCTTTTATCTGTCTCTCTGTTATCTGTCAATCTGTTTATCTCTCTCTTTTTCTCCCTACCCATCTGTCTCTGTCTCTACTAGTCTCTACCCCACTTCCCCATCCTTTACCCTCCCCCCCCCCACCAGAGCGGCAGCATTAGCCCCCAGTATCAACAAGGAGGAGGAGTGAGCCAGAGCGCTATGTTCAGCACCAGACCACGCTTGACGGGAGCTTCTCTGCGTCTGTAAATACTCCCGCGTTTACGTCCATTTACAGAGCGTCATGAAGCGTTTACGTGTGCTCTCCGGGGCCTCAGAGGGACTTTCGGAGCGTTAAAAAGGTCCCGGAAGCGTTATGAGCGGCGGTAGTGGTGTGTAGTGTGTTGTAGCTGTGGCCTGTTGAGAAGTGTTATGGTAATTTTTATGTGATTTGTGGAGTGTTATGGTAATTATTATGTGATTTGTGGAGTGCTATGGTAATTTTATGCGATTTGTGGAGTGTTATGGTAATTTTTATGTGATTTGTGGAGTGTTATGGTAATTTTATGCGATTTTTGGAGTGTTATGGTAATTTTTATGTGATTTGTGGAGTGTTATGGTAATTTTATGCGATTTGTGGAGTGTTATGGTAATTTTATGCGATTTTTGGAGTGTTATGGTAATTTTTATGTGATTTTTGGAGTGTTATGGTAATTTTTATGTGATTTGTGGAGTGTTATGGTAATTGTTTATGTAATTTGTGAAGTGTTATGGTAATTTTGTGTGTTTTATAAAGCATTGCTGATCATCACAGAGCATTATACAGTATCACAGAGACTCACAACACATCACAGTGCCTCACAACACATCACAGAGACTCACAACACATCACAGAGACTCACAACACATCACAGAGACTCACAACACATCACAGTGCCTCACAACACATCACAGAGCCTCTCAACACATCACAGAGACTCACAACACATCACAGAGACTCACAACACATCACAGAGACTCGCAACACATCACAGAGACTCGCAACACATCACAGAGACTCACAACACATCACAGAGACTCGCAACACATCACAGAGACTCACATCACAGAGACTCATAACACATCTACAGGGACTCTAACACATCACACAGAGACTCATAACACATCACAGAGACTCACATCACCACTCTACAAAATTAGACAGTGGACTTCTCATGAGACGCGGCAGAAATTGTTTACTTTGCCATCTGGCATCCTCTTGTGTGTGTGTGTGTGTGTGTGTGTGTGTGTGTGTGTGTGTGTGTGTGCGTGTGTGTGTGTTTATGTGTGTGTGTGTGTTTGTGTGTGTGTGTGTGTGTGTGTGTGTGTGTGTGTGTGTGTGTGTTGATATAACGGACTGACCTGTTATATAAAATCCGTTAAATAAATGTATTTCTATCGGCAAATAACACAGCAATAACACCACATTAGAGAACAATACAGTGAAACCTCCAAATAACGGACTATCCTCTCTCATAAAGTCCGTTAAATAGAGGTAATTAACACACCAATAACACCACATTACAGAACGATTAAAGCGTAATCTTAACTCTGTATAATTACTAACTGGTCACGAGAAATTATCATCACCAATTACTGTGGAAATTTTTTTATGAATAATTGGCCGTAATTGAATTAAAAGGTGTCAACATCATGTAAATAATTAATGACCGATTAATTCTGTTCCGGTGGCGTTATTCACTCTAATATTTGAGTCATTTAGTGGTGGTTATAGTAACGAGAGAAGGTGTTAGGTGAGTTAATTAATATTTTGAGGTAATTAGTAGCGATTGAAATTAACTCAGGTGTTGTTTAATACAGGTGAAATATAACATAGTAACGAGAGAGGTGATAGGTGTTGTCTGGAGATAATTAATTAATACTACCAGGTAAATAGACTTTATGTATGTATGTATGTATGTATGTATGTATGTATGTATGTATGTATGCTCGCTGCTGGAAGGAAGAAATAAACCTCTCAACCCTACAAAGAAATATTCAGTACAGAGCGAGAGACAAAGACAAACATCTCCTTCCTGGAAACTGGAAAATATCTCCTTCCTGGAAACTGGAAAATAACCTCGGTAGTAATCCAGAATCAGATATTACCTGGTCCCAAGAGATGGTCGGAGCGGACAGGTGAATTCGTCTCTCCTAACCCCGCTACTGTTACCTGTGCCTTACACTACCTGCTCCTGCTCCTGCCTTACACTACCTGCCTACCTGCTCCAACCTTACACTACTCGACCTTGTCTGCCTGGATGGTCAGTGAGTGATGAAGTGTGGAGAGGTTTGTTGCTAACTTGGTGCTGTGCCTGTTGTCAATCACTGAGTCGTTGGTAATTGACTTGTGTGACGGTGTTCCTTGTCTCTCTCTCTCTCTCTCTCTCTCTCTCTCTCTCTCTCTCTCTCTCTCTCTCTCTCTCTCTCTCTCTTACATCTATCAGGTACCAGTCGGATGATTTATCAGGTACCAGTCAGTCGATCTATCAGGTGAAGTGGAGGAGTTTAACTGGTGTGTGTGTGTGTGTGTGTGTGTGTGTGTGTGTGTGTGTGTGAGAGAGAAGGCACTGGAATAGGCACTTTACGCACCTGGACGCCAAAACCTAAAAGTTGGACGCGAAATTAAGCGAAGTTGGCGCCGACTTTTTGCAACGTCAACAAAATATTCGCGACTACACGAGCAGGTCATAAATTGAATATTCCTCGGCGTTTTCACCCTCAAATTTTTTGCGAATTCAAGTGATTTTTTTTTTTGAAGGCGGGGGAGGGGAGTGGGTAGTAGTCCTATGGGGTCTATAAAATTTGTGTTTTTGCATATTTAAGTAAATTTGTATTGCATTTTAAGATGTTTTAATATTTGTTTTTTCATGTTTTTTTTCAGTGTTTTTGCTTCGTTATAATGTAAGATGGCTGGTTTCATACTAATTTACTGATACACACACACACAGACACACACACACAAAGACACAGGCTTACACACACACACACACACACACACACACACACACACACACACACACACACACACACACACACACACACACACACTCTCTCTCTCTCTCTCTCTCTCTCTCTCTCTCTCTCTCTCTCTCTCTCTCTCTCTCTCTCTCTCCTCTCTCTCTCTCTCTCTCTCTCTCTCTCTCTCTCTCTCACAGTGGCTGATAGAGCAGTATTAAGACCACACATTCAACATCATCTTTACGGCAGCTCTACATCACTGCTTCTCTTGAGTGTTTCCACCAGAGTGTGTTTTAATGGCCTCCTTTTAAAGGACTCCTCTACCGTAGTACTTTATGGCGGGTACCAATGGTAACACCGCACCTTAATGGTCACTATCCATGTGTTCCTTTATAGATGATCCTTATGGCAACACTGTAGTACCTTTAATGGCAACGCTTAGTACAAGAGTCATTGTGTTAGATGGTGTTTTTGTATGGCAGATCCGTATGGCAACACTGCAGTTTAAGAGTCATTGTATTCTTATGGAGGATCATATGGCAACAGTGTCTAAGCTCAGGTATCTGTAATGGCTCTTATAAGACTCTACTTAATGGCTGACTAACGTTTACACACACAACTTAACATCAGATATTATACCGAGATTCTACTTTAAATAAATGCGTTCACTTAATACTCTACCTTAAATAGAAACGTTCACTTAATACTCTACCTTAAATAGAAACGTTCACTTAATACTCTACCTTAAATAGAAACGTTCACTTAATACTCTACCTTAAATAGAAACGTTCACTTAATACTCTACCTTAAATAGAAACGTTCACTTAATACTCTACCTTAAATAGAAACGTTCACTTAATACTCTACCTTAAATAAACGTTCATAATACTCTACCTTAAATAAAACGTTCATAATACTCTGTAATAAAACGTTCATAATACTCTACCTTAAATAGAAACGTTCATAATACTCTACCTTAAATAAAACGTTCACTTAATACTCTACCTTAAATAGAAACGTTCACTTAATACTCTACCTTAAATAGAAACGTTCACTTAATACTCTACCTTAAATAGAAACGTTCACTTAATACTCTACCTTAAATAGAAACGTTCACTTAATACTCTACCTTAAATAGAAACGTTCACTTAATACTCTACCTTAAATAGAAACGTTCACTTAATACTCTACCTTTCATGACGTAGACGACTGTTGACCCAGCGTGACCTGAGGAACAGCGGAGGACAGCCAGGGTGTCTGCTCTCAAGGGCGTGGGTGGGCGTGCGGTGGGCGTGGAAGGGTGTACGGTGGGCGTGTTTTTCTCAAGGAAGGTCAAGGTTAAGGCTGGAAAATATGACAGAGAGGAACAAGAGGTGGAGGTGAAGGAGGAAGAAGAAGAGGAAGAGGAAGAGGTAAAAGAGAGGGATGAGGACGAGGAGGAGAAGAAGAGTCTTGAGGAATGAGAGGGAGGAGCTGAGTGAGAGTGTGGGAGTGGGTGTGAGGGAGGAGTGGGAGGGAGGGGAGAGGTAGTGAAGAACTGCGGTGTGTTGTGAGGAAGGGGCGGGGAGAAGGAGGAGGAGGAGGAGGAGGAGGAGGAGGAGGAGGAAGACTGATGACTTGGTGATGGGGAAGAGGTTGGGAAAGGTGGGAGGTAGGGATAGTGTGGGAGATGAGGTGGAGGGATGATAGGTGGATGAGCGAAGGATGAAGGGGGTGGGATGATAGGTGGATGAGCGAAGGATGAAGGGGGTGGGATGATAGGTGGATGAGCGAAGGAGGAAGAGGGTGGGAAGTAATGTGAAAGGGATGAGGAGGAGGAGTGAGAGCGGGAGGAGGTGGAAAGGAAGGGGGAGTGCGAAAGGTGAGAGGAGGAGGAGAGGATGGGAGAGTGTGAGAGAGAGACGTGACGCCCTGGTCTGGCGGGCACCAGCAGCTTGTCACTCCGGGCGTCGTGGCTGTAAGAATGAAACTCTCATGAATAACTGCGCGAAATATATTAACCCCTGAGACTCCTTAAGACCCCCTGAAACTCTCTAAGACCCCCTGAGACTCTCTAATACCCCTTTGAGACTTCCTAAGACCCCCTGAAACTCTCTAATACACCCTGAGACTCTCTAATACCCTTTTGAGACTTTCTAAGACCCCCATGAGACTCCCTAAGACTCCGGGAGGGTTTTAGAAGGAAGGAAGGGCTCCACTCACCTTAGTCCGGGCAGGTATTGTTGCGGCCAGCCAGGGTTCCTCTGGTCCTCCTGCCACAGCGGATCATCACGGAGTCTCCTCATAGAGTCACTGGGACTTACTGGTGAGTGGTGGTCGACTGAACCTGCTAGACCTTCTACTGGTCTTGCTGGACCGTATATCATGTGGGTTGAATCGGCCATAGAGTTTATGGGACCGTGCGATAGTTGTACCGGTACGTCTGCTATGCCTGCTGGACCGCCTGCTGGACCGCCTGTTGGACCGCCTGCTGGACCGTCTGCTGGATCTGCTGAATCTTCTATGTGGTCTCCTGGGCCGTTTTCTAGGTCTACAGGATGCTCCGCTCGGTCTAATGAACCGCTAATTTGGTCTGCTGTGCCCTCTGCTGGACCCCTTTCCAAGTCTGCTGGATTGCGCACTCGGTCTGCTGAACCTTGCATTGGACCTTCCACTGGGTCTGCTGACTTGTCCGGCAGACTTGACCATTTCTGCTCTATCTTTTTGTTCTTCCGTCTTTCTCTCCTGTCATTCTTTCTTCTTGTCTCCTTTCTAGTCTTTCCTCTCGTCTCTCCTTCCTTTCTCTCCATTCCTCTCCCTTTCTTCCTCTTTCCCTCCCTCCCGCTTTTCTTTTGATTTCTTCTATGAGTTATCTTTTTCTTGTTATCTTCTTCCTTCGTTTCTTTCTTCTCTCTTTCATTCCTTTTATTTTCCTTCAGATTTCTAGTCGTCTTTTTGTTATTTTTATTTCGTATCTTATTTTTGTTTTCATTTTTTTTCTCCCTTTTCTTGTCACTTTCTTCCACTTCTTTATTTCTAAGTTCCATCGTTTTTTCTTCTATCTCCTCTTCTTTATCTTTGTTTAATTTCTTTTCATTCTCTTTTCTTCTCTTCTCTCTCTTTTCTTTCATTGTTCCCTTTCTTTCAGTTTTCCTCTCAATCTTTTTCTCTCTCTCGCTTCGTTTCACCTCTTCTTCTCTTCCTTCTTCGTCTCCTTCTTTGCTTTCTCTATCAGTCCCTCGATCCATCCTCCTCTTCTGCTTCTTCTTCTTTCGTCTCTCTTCCTTTTCTTGCTCTTCATTCATGTCTTTTTCATTCTTCTTCATCTTATCTTCTTTATCGGTTCCATCTTTATCAACTTCTGCTTTGTCTTTCCTTTTTCCTTTCTTATTTTTCTGTTTCTTCATTTTCTTATCTTTATTTTCATCATTTTCTTTCTCCTTGCTTCTTTCATTCTTTCGTTTGTCCTTTTCTCCCTCTCTCTTATCACTTCCTTTCTGTTCCTCATTTTGTATCTCATCTTCTGTTTTCTCTTGTTCCTTTCTTTTCTTATCTCTTCCTTTTCCATCTCCCCCATTCTCCTCCTCCTTCTCGTCTCCATTTTTTGTGTACGTTTCGTGTTTTTCATTTTCTTGTTTTATTTCCTCTTTCTCTTCTTTCTTTATTCTATCTCTTTTTTTCTTTTCCTCTTGTTGTTTATTTCCATTTTCTCTCTGTGTGTATTTTTCCATCTCTCCTTTTGCTTCTGTTTTCTTATTTTCGTCATTCTTTTTCTCCTCTTCCTTCGGTGTCTGTTTATCCTTCTTCTCTTTTTCGTCCTCATTTTCCTTTCGTTTAGTTGTTCTCCTTGTCACATTCTCTTCTTCTCTCTCGTATTTCTCTCCTTTTAGTTTATCTTTCTTCTCTTTGGAGTCTTTTATCTCTATTCTCTCGTCTTTTTCACTATCTCCTTTCCTCTCTTCTTCTTCTTCGTTCTCCTTTGGCTTTTTCTTTTCATTTTCCTTATTATTATCTCTTTCTTGTTCGTCTTCTTTATCTCCCACAATTTCCTTTTTCATTAATTTCTTCTCTTGTTTTCTTTCACCTCCTTTCTGAATTTCCTCCTGCATTTTCTTCACCTCTTTCTTCTTGTTCCTTTCTTCTTTAATTTTCCTCTTTGCTTCTCTTAAATTCTTCCTCTTTTCCTTCTTGTTCTCTTTTATTTTCTTCTCCTGGTTCTCTCCTTCTTTCCTCTTAATCTTTACTCTTTCATTTCTCTTCATTTTTCTAATTATTTTTCGCCTTCCTTTGTTTTCGTCTCGTTTCTTGTGTTTTATTTCCATTTCTTCGTTGGGTATATCTTTATCTCCCTCCTTCTCCTCCCCATTTGGTTTCTCTTCTGTGTCGTCTTTATTTTCTATTCCTTCTTCTTTTTTATTTTCTGTTTTCTTGTTTTCCTTTGCTCTGATAGTTATTTTAGTGTCTGTGTTTTTCTCTAAGTCTTGTTCATTCTTCCCTTTCTCTTCTCCCTTCTCTCTTTCTCCTCTCTCTTCTCCCTTCTCTTCCATTTCCCCCCTTTCTCCATCCAGAGTAAAATAAGCTTGAGAATTTTTTGTTTTATTGTTTTCTTCTGCTTTATCGGCTTTTCTCTGTTTATCATTATCGACATTCTCTTTTGCTTCTCCACCTCCTTGTTCTTGTTCTTCTTGTTCTTCTTCTATTTTTAACCTAATTGCTGACGCCAACTTAAGCCCGGTTGCCAAAGGTCGCTGGATATCTTGTTTTCCAATTCTCCCTTTCTTGTCATTATCGGTTTTGTCTTCTTCCTCCTCCTTTGATATTTTCTTCCGTGATTCTTTAGTCTTCTTTAACTTTTTTATTTCTCCCTTTCCTTCTTCTTTCTTCTTTTCATTCTCTTTCTGTTTCCCTCTTTCGTTATTGTTATTCTCTAAGTCTTTCTTCGTAGATGTGTTTCGTCCTTTATTTTTATTGTTTGTTTCTTTTTCCTTCTTTATTTCATGGTCTTTGTCTTCTTCTTTATTTTGTTTATCTATGTTCTTATTATTTTCTTCTGTTTTATCTTTCTTGTCTCCTCGTTTGTTTCTTCTTGAGTTCCTCTTCTTCTTCTTAATCTTTTTCTTCTTCAATTCTCGTTTCTCCTCTTCTCCGCTAAGCTGTGTCTTTTTGTCTCTCTTTCTCAATCGTTCTCTTCCATTCTTCCTTCCATTATCTTTCTTCTCTGTGTCCCTCTTCATCCTTAACTTCTTCTTTTCTTCCTCCTCTTCCTCTACGTCATCATTGTTTTCTCCCATTCCGTTTTCTGTGTCTAGTTTCCCGTTTTCTGTGTCTAGTTTCCCGTTTTCTGTGTCCCGTTTCCCGTCTCTGTTTATTCCTTCTTCCTGTTCTTCCTGATCATCATCCATCTTCGTCTCTTCTTCCTGTTCCGCCTTGATCAAAACGCTGTGCTGTTGAAGGTCAGTGGCGCGTGGTGGTGGTGGTAGTGAGGGAGTTTGAAGGAGAGAAGGAGGAGAGTGGTGTTGGAGGTGAAAGTTAGTTGGGAGATTTAAAGGTGGTGGTGATTGGATGTCGTGTTGGAGATTGGTGAGGTGTGGTGGTGGTGGTGAAGTGGTGGTGAAGTGTCGTGTTGGAGGTTGGTGAGGTGTGGTGGTGGTGAGGTGTTTTGTTGGTGATGCTTGTTGGTGGAGGGAGGGGATGATAGGGTCAATTGAGGGTGAGAAGGATTAATATGCTGGAGATTGGAATTGTTCGATAGACGTGTTGGTGGTGGAGCATCGTGTTGGGGACGTTGATTGGTGGAGATATGTAAAGGTAGTGATGGAGATGTAGTGATGGTGGTGGTGAGTGTCGTGTTGGAGGTAGACTTGTTGGTTGATAGGGTGAGGGTGAGAAGCTGGAGATCGTCAGGAGACGGAATAGCGTCGAGGGGTCGTTCTCCATCTTGGTCTCCACCTTCGCCCTGGAGGTCGAGGAGTTGTTGACCTCGCCATCGTGACCTGAGGGAGAGGAAACATGGGTGTTATGCTTCACCAGAAATAAGTCTCCTCCTTCACTTGTTTTTCCTCTCGTCCCCTGAACCATTATTCCCCTATTTACTTCCTTGTAAATATGACAATAATAATAATAATAATAATATTGATAATAATAATAATAATAATATTAATAATAATAATAATAATAATAATAATAATAATAATAATAATAACACAATTAATAATAAAACTACAGTCGAACGAAGTATCAAATTACATAGGTCGTCTTATCTGATGACATCCTGATCTTAACAACCATAGAGCTAGACTACGCGCACACACACACACACACACACACACACACACACACACACACACACACACACACACACACACACACACATTGACTATCTCCCTCAGGTGACCTCGTTAGAGTGATCAAAAGAAGAGACGTATAAAGATTCAATAGTGATCATGTTTGCAGTGATTCATTCTGTGATAAACTAATCTCTGGATCTCGGGGAGGTTCTGTAAAGAGTCGGGGGACCAGAGAGGACTGAAGGGTGATAAATCTTCCGGACAAGGAGACTGTCGTTTAAGAGGACAAGCAGCGTCCCGCCCTCCTGTGGCTGAGTTATGGCTCCTGGGGCCCTCCTCCTGTGGTAGAGTTATGGCTCCTGGGGCCCTCTTCCTGTGGCTGAGTTATGGCTCCTGGGGCCCTCCTCCTGTGGTAGAGTTATGGCTCCTGGGGCCCTCTTCCTGTGGCTGAGTTATGGCTCCTGGGGCCCTCCTCCTGTGGTAGAGTTATGGCTCCTGGGGCCCTCTTCCTGTGGTAGAGTTATGGCTCCTGGGGCCCTCCTCCTCCTGTGGTAGAGTTATGGCTCCTGGGGCCCCTCTTCCTGTCTGAGTTATGGCTCCTGGGGCACTCCTCCTGTGTGGTAGACTCTGGGCCCTCCTCCTGTGGTAGAGTTATGGCTCCTGGGGCCCTCTTCCTGTGGCTGAGTTATGGCTCTGGGGCACTCCTCCTGTGGTAGAGTTATGGCTCCTGGGGCCCTTCCTGTGAGTTATGGCTCCTGGGGCACTCCTCCTGTGGCTGAGTTATGGCTCCTGGGGCCCTCCTTCTGTGGTAGAGTTATGGCCCCTGGGGCCCTCCTTCTGTGGCTGAGTTATGGCCCCTGGGGCCCTCCTTCTGTGGTAAAGTTGTGGCTCCTGGGGCCCTCTTCCTGTGTCGGTTGCTTGTACACGGGACCTTCCACCTGTTCCATCACCCACCCGACCACCTGTTCCACCACCCACTCTTCCACCTGGTGCACTACCTGTTCGTGGCTGTCAGGTGCCATGGCCTACGTGTCACCGTCACCCCTCTCCCCCCGTGGTCCTGGGCGTCCCTGAGGCGGCCCCCGGCCCTGACTGTCCCTGAGCGGATCCTCAGATTTCCCTTTGAGACTCCGGGAAGAAAGAAGCTTTTGTAGTCTCAAGATGGGAGTCGCCTTTCACAGAAAACATCTCAATATGACCGTGGAGGTGGAGGGGCAGGAGGGGGAGGTGGGGCAGGAGGAAGAGTGAGGGGGAGGAGGAGAGTATGGGGCAAAGAGGAAGAGGGAAGGAGGAGGAGAAGGGAGGTGGGTCAGAGAGGAAGGGACAGAGGGAAGAAGGAGGGGAAAGGAAGAGAGGAGGGGAGGAGGGAGGGGTTACTTGGAGAAAGAGGGAGGTGGTTAGCTGGAGGAGGGGGGTTGAAGGAGACCTGGAAAACTTTAGAAATCATAAGGAGTTCACATAAAAATAAAAGCTTTAATATGGTCACTAAGAGGCATTTAATGTTTCAATGGGGCTTTTGAGTGAGGAGGAGAAGGGGGGTGAGGGGAGGTGAGGAGAACAAGAGAAAAATTGGCACAGAGAGCATAGAAGTGTAGTAATAGTGAAGATCAATAAAGACATCATTTATGGCCGCTAAGAGGGAACGGGGGAGGAGGAGGAGAGGAGAGATCAGGACAAGAGAAGAGAGGAAAGGTTAGATGATGAAAGAAGAGGAAAAAGAGAAAGGAACAAAAGGGGAAATAGAACAAGACGATAAATATTGCTGTGAAAAATATAAATAAACTATAAAAATATACACAAACGAAAATACATCTTCTAGGATAGTGTAGGTGTCTAGTTGGTCGACCTAACATGACGTGTGCATCAGGTTATACATAAGACGATGGGGAGGTCAATATAGCCACTTCATACTGGGATAAAAACAGCTGATTAGATCATAAATTATTATCATATATTTCCTTATTATCCCAATATGATGTTGAGTTATTTAATATACGGTTTGTATTGTGGAAATAATTTATATATCCAGTTTATGATATACAGATGATATATTGTATGTTATATATGCATTATATAAGGTCGGTATATATGTTATGTTTTAATATATCTTAATTAATGAAAGGAAATAAGAAATTATATTATAATTAAACACTAATATTTTTATTTATTGTCTACGAACTAATTTAAGCGTTCAGTATAATGTTACCTTCATTACTACCTGGCTGCCGACTGTCTAATTTGCATACCTGTACTGCCAGTGTTTACTTACAAGTATATATGCAAATTTCCCTCAGCGCTACTCCTATCTTAGTTTCCCCCGAGAACTCACACAAATTTCCTAAAATCTTCGGTGCTTGACGAATTTGTTCAAGTTTCCAAAGGCCGATTCACGATGCATGTTCCCATGTTGATTTATAATTTCCCCACGCTTTAGTGAAAATTCCCACAAAGGATTATAATTTCCCCACGCTTTGGTGAAAATTCCCACAAAGGATTATAATTTCCCCGCGCTTTCGTGAAAATTCCCACAAAAGTTTATAATTTCCCCACGCTTTAGTGAAAATTCCCACAAGAGTTTATAATTTCCCCAGCACTAAATTATTTTTCCCAAGCTAATTCATAGTGTAAATGACTATGAACATTGATCTATGAGCGTTATGTTGTGGTAACGGTCCATCAGACTGAGGCAGGTAGCGTGTTACAGGTGTAGTGTAGTGCTTGTTAAGTTGAACCACGAGTTTATATAAACCTGATTTGTGTAGATTTTGTTGATTAGTCGCTCAGCTTAAGCTATGGCCTCTAATGCAAAATTAAGCTTATAAAAGTTTATTTCCTCTGTCTTTAGTGGGATCGACTTACTGTTTATCATTATTTGTGTACCCGCACTGTTAAGAGAGAGAGAGAGAGAGAGAGAGAGAGAGAGAGTGAAATAGAAACAGAGAGAGAGAGAGAGAGAGAGAGAGAGAGAGAGAGAGAGAGAGAGAGAGAGAGAGAGTCGACCAAGTGACGGGTGTTGTCGTTATCAGGAAGCGAGAGAGCCCGGGGAACCGACACGCCCGGGGGAGAGATAAGAGATAAGGGGGCAGCCTCACACCTGTCTCTCTGTCTCTCAGGGGAAGCGGTAAGGGGGAACCACATACCTGTCTCTCTGTCTCTCTGGGAAAGCGGTAAGGGGGAGCCACATACCTGTCTCTCTGTCTATCTGGGGAAGCGGTAAGGGGGACACACACACACCTGTCTCTCTGTCTCTTTAGGTAGGTGGTAACGGAAGGGACAGGGGACAAGAGAGAGATTGGGAGGAAGGGGGCAGAGAGAGAGAGAGAGGGGGGGAGGGAGAGCGAGTGGGAGGGAGGGACAGGATGGAGGGAGAGAGATATGGGAGGGAAGTGAGAAGGAAAGGAAGGAAGAAGGAAGAGGAGTAATTAGATGAAGGAGAGAAATAGAGATTGGAGAAAGAAAAAAGAGACAGAGAGAGAGAGAGAGAGAGAGAGAGAGAGAGCAGGCAGGTAGGTAGGTAGGTTATGACAGGTACCCATTATAATAGTTAGGTTTCTCCCTTCTTCTTCCTCCTTCTCTCACTTATTTTATTCTCGTCTCCCTCACCCCATTCCCATCTCCATTTCTCTTTCTACTGTCACCAATTATATTCTCTCTTCCTCTCCTCTCTGCCTCTCTCTCTATCGCTCATTTCTTTCTCTTATTCTCCTTTTTTCCTTTCCTTCTCATTTCTCTTAACTCTATCAGGTAATAATCATTGTCCTTTGTGTTACTGGATTGTTGTCGAAGCACTACTAACCTAACCTAACCTAACCTAACCTAACCTAACCTAACCTAGCCTAGCCTAACCTAACCTAACCTAACCCTCTTTTGTACCGTCAACAATGCCTACATAGTCTTCCAGGTGTTGTTACCTTGACGTCAGAAACACGGGAGAGAGGGAGGAAGGAGAGAGAGAGAGAGAGAGAGAGGAGAGAGAGAGAGAGAGAGAGAGAGATGGAAAGGAAGGGGAGGATGCAAGCTGTGTGGAGTCCGGGGTAGAAGGGAAGGAGGGAGGTTTGGGGCAAGGAGGGAGGGAAGGAGGGAGGTTTCTGGGGCAGGGGAGGGAGGGAAGGAGGGAGGTTTTGGGGCAAGGAGGGAGGTTTGGGGCAGGGAAGGAAGGGAAGGAGGGAGGTTTCGGGACAGGGAGGGAGACGGGAAGGCGTGTAAGCTCCGGGGCAGGGAGTGAGGAAGGGAAGGACGGGGCCCCCAGGGA